ATCTCTTAAAAAAAGAAAACTAAAGAAGAAGAAAATATAATGGATTCCTCTCCTGCATTTCCAAAATCGGCGCAAACATATCGCCCAGAATTGAGCCTCTTTGGTGTTCCTTCCACTGATACCAGTGTCTTGGGCAGTGAGTACTTTTGTTTTTTTCCCACGACGACAATTGCAAATTCTAATTCTCCAATCGAATTTATCATCCCTTCAAGTCAAAAGCATTACACCGATTTTGGTCCAAATTCGCACTTTCTATACTGCAAATTTTGTATTCAAAAATCCAATTCTTCACCAATTACCGCTGCCGACAAAGTGGCAGGTTCTCACAATACATTTGCAGCCTTGTTTAGTTCATTGACCTTTGAAATTAATAATAAACCGTCGCAAACGCGCATACGGAAGTAGCTTCAGACGTACTTCACCCCAAACGGTCCCACCACAACTCGGGAACACTTAATTTCACTCTATTTCACCTATAGATTAATTTTTTGTAAAAATCTCATTTTGCCCCGACCACACCCCCTGGCGACGAGGGGGTGTGGAACAACTCGGGAACACTTAATTTCACTCTATTTCATCTATAGAGTAATTTTTTATAAAAATCTCATTTTGCCCCAACCACACCCCTGGCGCCTAGGGGGTGTGGCACAACTCCGTAACACATAATTTTACTCTATTTCAAACTATAGATTAAATTGCACTAAAAATCTCATTTTGCCCCAACCACACCCGCTGGCGCCGAAGGGGTGCGGCAAAATCGGGGAAACACTCAATTTCACTTAATTTCACTTAATTTCATTTAATTTCACTCAATTTCACCTAATTTTACCCATAGATTAAATTGCACTAAAAATCTCATTTTGCCCCAACCACACCCCCTGGCGCCGAGGGGGTGTGGCACAACTCCGGAACACATAATTTTACTCTATTTCACCTATAGATTAAATTGCACTAAAAATCTCATTTTGCCCCGACCACACCCCCTGTCGCCAAAGGGGGTGTGGTCCGGTTGCCCCCAAAAGTTGATAGGATCCTCCCCCTGGGGTCCTATGTATGATGGCGAAAACCGATTTCGATTATCTCGATCCGTTCTCCTGATATCCTGCTGACAGACAGACAGACAGACAGACAGACAGACAAAGTCTTCACATAAAGTAGCTGAAGCTACTTAATAATTGCGTGACTCGTAGTGATGATGGTTTGTACGCCTATAAAAAGCACATTATTGATACCCTAAGTCACAGTGTGGGATACAAGAACTCGAAACTGCAAAATCAACTTTATTATATGGACACGGCCGATACTTTATCAACCGATAATGTTGGGTGGCAAAAGCGCCAATCTTTCTTTGCTAATGGGATTGATTGTGAAATAATGGGACCTCTAACGGAAGCCCCGTTTCAATCCCGTTACTACCCGACCGATATGCAATTTAGACTCGTTTTAAAAAGAACAGAAAGCAATTTTCATTTGGACGCCATTAGCACCGTGAAACCTTCAGATCCTCCTCCATACAAACTAGCTTGGAAAAGCTGTCAATTATACGTGAAAAGAGTACTAGTGAATCCTAGAATTATGGCATGGCACCATAAGATGCTGGCGTCAAACCAGAAATTTACTTTCCCTACTCAAATTTGTGAGACACGAATTTTCACTGCAACCAAAGGGGCGCAAACCGTAATTTCAGAGCCGTTATTTCGCTCGACAATACCACGAGTGTTGGTAGTTACCCTATTGGACCCTGATCGTTTCCACGGTGACGTCACAAAAGCTGCATTCAGATTTGATTCATTTACTCTATCCTCTATAAAAGCTTGTGTGGACGGAAATCCAATAATATATCAAAACCTGGAGGTATCTTCAACCAACAAGACTGCACTAGTCGCATACAATACTATATTCGATGCTCTGGATGATATTGAGTGTGGCACGGATATTAATCGTGAAAATTATCTTAAAGGCTCTTTTTTTGTTGTGCTCGATATGAACCCTATTCAGCATATTAATAGGTACTTGGGAACTCGAGAAGGAAATGTGACATTGGAGCTTCGATTTTCTGCCCCCCTTGATTCAAGTATTATGGTAATGGTTTTGGGTTTCTTTCAAGGCCAAATTACTATTGATTCAAATCGTATCGCAAGTTTAGAAGCAGATCAACATTGACAGAATGAATACTGACTTATTACTGTGTCTCATGCGCTGCGCCGTAATGGGCACACAAGTGCAACGAGTATACGTAATTCCTCGCGATGAATTAATTAAAATTAAAGTTGATCATTTACCAATTGCAGTTGGATTCAATGAACAAGATGGGACGCAGCCTGGAAGTCACTGGTTATTCTTGTGGATATCCAAGGTAAAGGACGGCAGAGTCTATGGATCTTTTGTTGATTCTTATGGCAAAAGTTGGTCGGACTACAAATTTCCTACATTAAAATTCCCTGTAATTACTGAAAATAATTGTAACTTGCAAATGTATGACAGTTCAGTGTGTGGTAGCTATGCAGTTTTCCTAACCTACTACATGTCTAGAAACGTTGATTTACAAAAAATTTTAAATAGGTTTACTTGCTTTCCTAGTCCATTTAACGACAGTATTGTTGTAAGATTTGTAAAAAGATTTAGATTAAAAGCAGAGGAACAAACAGATTGCAAGCAGTCTTGTTGTAGCCGATTGCATAGAAGGAACTAGTCGTGATGGCTCTTTTGAAATTAATCCTCGTCGTGACATTGATTTCTACCGTTTCCGCAAATGTGGACGTTGAAGCTGAATGCAGAATGTGCACCTCAAGGTCAAAAGTTTATCTACTGTACATGCCAACCAATTCTGCAATTGTTCAGAGCGCTTGTGTCAACGACACGGCCGAATTTCCTACCAGCGACAAGTTAATATTAGACGCTCGATGTACGCAGGACGAATGCGTAGATTTAATCCCAAATCGATTCCAAACGGTGTTTAGAAAAACTGTTTTTTGCAAGGAGGGCCTTCAACGGCCCAAGCCATTTGTAAATATTTTTGGAGATTGGCTAGAAATACTTTTGCTAACTTTATTACTAAGTATAATTGTAATCAAAAAATCGTTATTACAGAAATGTGTGTTTGAGAGAAATAGTCCTGTAAATAGTGAAATTGTATAATGTAATTTAGTGACCCTTCCCCGCCACCGTGTTGTAATTTTAGTAAAGAAGGGTGATTTGTTTTGTGAATATAGGCGGGTCTTCTGATTAGCTCTTGACAATATTGTTAATATATTCAGTGTTGCAATTGCTAATTGGTAGCCGACTTGTTCACGTTCATCAGGCGTCAAAACCATTTATGGATACGTATCCTATTTATGTATTTACTAATCTGCTTATGAAGTAACCATGAAGATTATTGCAATTTCTTGTGCATTATTTACAAAATTAGTTTGCCAATCTAGCCCAGCAATTTTGGATGGTATTTTTATATTAAAGAAAATAAGACAAAAGGAAATAAAATTGCATACTCGGATGCATGTAAACACAATAATGATTCGCTGTTTTGATGTTATTTCTCGATTACTGCAAAATCTGCAAGACAATTTACATTTTTGCGTATGTAATCTATCTCAATCCATATCTAGGCATGATCATACATTCGACACTTATCTTCTTGATAAGCCAATAAATACATGACCAATCCACAACTTGACGCTTATCTTCTGGATAAGCCAATCAACGCCATGACCAATCCACAACTTGACGCCCAGGTCACTGGGCGCCCAATCGGGGGCAAAGCCCCTCCCCCTCCCAATAGGAACCGCCCTTACAAATAAGGAAGGGCACCTGTACGTTCTGCCTGTTGGCTTGTGCAGTGTAGTCGTCGTCCTCGTCTACGGATCTAGAGAAGATGATAAGTATTGTTCTACTGCTTTTTTTTGTGGTTGTTATCGTACATACATATTTAGTAGATAGTAAATATTAGTGTGATGTGATTTCTCCATGATACGCTAAGCTAAGGATAAGTAAGATAAGCAAGAGCACTGCAAAAATTATTCAATGACTGAACACAGGAGAAAAATTTCTACTCATTCCTGACGACAGGACTGACTAACTTACTTACACACACGGATAGTTCTCTCCTCGACTTAATTAGTTAGTTAATTAATTACTTTTTGATTTTTTGGGCAGTGTGGGCCGTCCGTAGCACGTTCGAGTGATGGCCGGAGCTCTGGAGGGTGACATTTTCGTCGGTCCCAAGGCGGAAGAGCACAGGGGCCTGTTGGTCATCAATTACCCGATGGAACATGGTATCGTCACGGATAAGAGCGATATGGAGAGAATTTGGCAAGACGTGTACAGCAAAGATCTGCTGCAAACATTTGCTGAAGAGGTAAAGAGAACTTTAGGAACATAATTTTGAAATATTTGTTCCCAGCATCCCGTCCTCCTCACGGAAGCGCCCCTCAATCCGCGCAGGAACGGAGAAGTCGGCCGAGATATTTTTTGAAACGCTGAACGCTCCAGCTTTGTTTTTGTCGATGCAGGTAGTTCTTAACTTGTAAGTAAAAATTGTTAACTAAATTCTTTGCGAATTGAGGTCTCGCAACATGTGGTCAGAGATTTTGAGGAATAATCAATCATAAGTTTAATTAATGTGAACTTTGAAAAAGACAATGGGCGCGTTTGGCTGCGATATTTACATCCAAAGATAAGAAAATAAAAAGCAGACTGCCGGATGGTTGGATTGGATGCGGGTAAGCTGAGGTGAAATCTGGTCAGGTCAGCCGTTCTAGCTGACATTCTTCATCAATTGTCGTCAAGGTCAAGGTCAGGAATGGTGTGGTATCGCGGACAAGTTCAAGGGGGGAAAGGTCACCAGCAAGCGACAGGAACCGGCCCGGCAGCCAAAAGTACAATGTTCACGGGGGCAAAACGTCAACAGAAACGGAAGCTATCCGAAGCCGAGGAAGATGACTTTACTTCGTCCAACGGGCACAGTGGGAGCGAAGGAAAAACCGCGATACCTTCCGTGAACTGGGTCAACCTGCGGAAACCCGGGTATCGAAATCATCACGGCGGTGCTACCGGACGCCAGAAATCGTTCACGTTTAACAAGTGAGAAGAAACGTGTTTGTTTTGATGGAATGTTTTCAGGTTTTAATGTGATTATGTATTTTTGTTTTGCAGACTACTTTCCACCTGTGGGATAAGCACAATTGTAGCATTTGTAGCGTATTATGGTTATCTTGGATATTTAGAGACTAGAATTTCAACTCCTCTGCAAGTAGATAAGGTATTCGTTCGTTTCAATGTTCGTTTGTTGTTCTTAATTCAAGTGTATCGAAGTATTAGTTAATTACACAGAGCCGTACCGTGAAATTTTCAGGCCTGGTATGAGCTTTAATGCCGGGCCCTTTCATAAGTTCAATATATCCGATATTACGTACAGAGAGTTATAATTATGTATAGGCACAGTTGCCAACACTAATTATGTGCCCGAAGTACTCATCGGTGAATTTTTTGGCGTTTTCCACGTGTTCCTAATCCTTTTTTGATAAGGAACAAAGTCGTCGTTTCAAATAATTAAAAATTTTAAGGCCCATTTCATAGGTCACTTTCCTACACTCGCCATCCAAAAGTTTGCAAAACGCATAAAAAAAATTAGGCACACGTTTCTTTACAGTGTCGTCCTGAAGCTCCCATTTTGAAAAAAACAAAAAAGGTGCATAAGTCGACGTAACTAATACATCTTTGTACAAAATAATTATAATTTCGAGTACTTCAACCACATTGATGAATAGTGAGTGGTGATTCTGACGGTGCAGAGTTGGAAAAAGTTTATGGTTTCCCCCTATTTTCAATGTAATATCCTTAACTTTTGTCGCAAGACCAAAAAATTAAGTTTTTTATAAAGTAGGGATCGTTTTCTTTCCTTCCCAACTCATTTTGTGCTAAAAAAATTATTTTTGTGAGAGCATCATCAATGTATGTCACACGCGTCTGATTTCGCAATTGTTGAGGGTGGTGCGTTTGGTGACTCTGGAAAGCTGAGATTTGTGTTTCTGGTTGATTTTCGGATATAATTGTTTGCATTAGGCCCAATTCTATCAGAAACCATGTTAATTGCATTGATAAATTATATAGGTACTTTTTTAGGGGTCATTTAAGGTGTGCAAAGTCATTTAACTGCATGGTACACTTGGGGCCCAATTTTCGGACCCAGATTTCGAAATTTTAAAATGGAGTAAATTGAAAATTTGTTCGACTTGAATTATAGTTTGAAAATCGTTTACAACATTTTTAATTTGCGCCGCAGTTTTATATATATATGGGCAAATAAGCTACTGTGCCTATACAAAATTATAACCCTCTGTAATAGTTTTTGCTCCAGAATAATAATAGTATTTTGGAACGAAATAATATTCTACGTATTAAGAGCATACTATGTTCCCAGTTCCACGGGAAAATAGTTGCAATTTACTTGCACTTTTAACTCAGCTATATTTTTGACGACAGCGGCGGGGTGGAGAAAATTCAATTATAAACACCTTGAAGTTAAATAAATATGCGCATATGGCGAACTTTTCGCTTACTTCCCAATGCCTCACAAAACCTTTTCGATTAATTACTTTTCTGCCCGTTTTAAAAGTTTGAAAAATTAAGAGAAATTTGGAATTTGGAATACAACACGTATTTTATATTTCTTGAATTCAGGTACAAATTCAATGACATACAATATTTTGAAAAGCTAACCTCTTGGCTGAAAATAGCTTTTAAAATTGAACCAAGCGGTAATAATATAAAAATATACAATTGTACACATTTGGGCCTGAAGCCGTCAGACTACAGCCTGACCAGCAATGAGATGACTCCAGTGGTTTCGCTCCGATTTTGACGAAATCACTATAATTATGTAACCTTCGACAAATAATTGAACACGTATTTCAGGATTTTTCATAATGCTTAAATGAAATTATGATGGAATCCGGGAGCGAGAATTTCCATTTTTACCGTGAAATTTTCCTTACACTATATTCTATAATAATTTCGTTATAGCTTAAAATGGTTGGGCATGAAGTAGTTTCCTCAAATTTTGACCGAAAAATTTTAAATTGCTCACACAAGGAAATAAGCGGGATTGTATTTTTGTACATATTTTCCTGGATAGCACGTTTTCGCCTGTGAGGAAAGTTTTAAATACATTTTCAGCCAAATTTGGATTTTTCAAAGTGCTAAATTTTGATCCTATTTCAAAAATGGAAGAACATTTTTGCACGGAATTAAAGGAATTAAATTGGGTTTAAGAAACTTCCACATTTCAAAAACTTTTGATTTTTCGAATTTTCTGGCCTGTAGTATTTTTTCAAAATTCCGAAATAGTATAAAAAATGTAATGGTTAATAGTTTTTTGAAAACCAGTTTTTATTTATAGAAGTAATTTTTTAGCAAACATATTCCTTCAATTTTGAAATAGCATTAAAATTAGAAAATTAACAGCTTTTTGAAAAATCTTTATTTGGAACATTCAGGAAAACGAAAATTACGGGTCGGGTTATTTCGGTGTGTGACTAATTTAAAATTGGTCGGGTCAAAATTTGAGGAAACCACTTCATGCCCACACATTTTAAGCTTTAACAAAATTATGATGGAATTCGCATGCGAGAATCTGTATTTTTCTCTCTTGCGAGAAAAATTTCACGGTAAAAACGGAAATTCTCGGTCACGCATTCCTTTATAATTTCCTTTTAAGCCGAGCATTATGAAAAATCCTGAAACACGTGTTCAATTATTTGTCTAAGGTTACATAATATCGTTGTTTTGCCAAAATCGGAATAAGACCTTTGGGGTCATCGCATTGTAAGTTAAGGGTCCTAAGTTTGTCACTGGGTTAAGGTAAGTTTGCCCCCTAACAAGGTACATTTGTGGTTATCAAGCAGCATCTTTGCTTCTTTCAAGTTGAACTTTTACATATTTTCGGTTCCAAGAAATTAAGAATGTGCCAACTCTTTACATACACAGAATTTCCCACAATCCCACGAAATAATTATAATAGAAATATGCCAACTGGTGAGAAATTTTGGTGTCAGGTAATTCACATGCAAATTTATATATCGGAATTGTAACTAAAAATGCGTAGGCATGAAGTGATTCACTCCAACTTTTACCCTACAAATTTTAAATTGCTTAAGCACAGAAATAAGTCGACCCACACTTTTAGGTTTTCTTCAATATACCTAATTTTTCTTTGGCTGAATTTTTAAATGAAGTGGAAGTGTGGAAGTTTCAGCTAAAATCAGAATTTTGTAAAATTCGAAAGTTAAACTTTTAGCATTAAAAATTATACATTATGTTTGCTCTAAATTCATACAAAAGTGTAACCCTGCAGAAGCGAAAAATTCATACAAAAATAATTACATGTGAAAAACAAATAAGATCAAGCAGTTTAATGTAAGAAAATTTATGTGCTTGAAATATTTTTTTTGTAAAATCTTCAATACACAAAAAGTCCATTATATCTAGTGTAAAGCAAGCGACCTGGCCCGGGCCCTTACGGGCCCCGGGCCTGGTATTTGGTACCACAATATACCACGGTTGGTACGGTACTGTAATTACAAACTGCTATTCAATCCATGACACAACAAAACTAATTCCTTATAATATAATTGCTTAAATAATTAACTAAATAATGAGGCATTTCACGTCAGCCTTCGCAATTACGTAAACTTACGAAACTTACAAACTTTATACGAAACTTATAAACATCTGGAAGGTAATTTTTGCTTATTACAAAAGCTTTCGAAGATAAAAGGTCTGTGTCGCTGAACTTCGTAAACTTACTTGATTACGAGCTTACGAAGGTTGACGTGCATTGTTGATTCAATATTAATAAGTAAGTAATTATTAAAGTAAATATTTACGTCTCTACAGAAAGTACTAATTTTGTATCTATACTCTCACTTGATTTTTGTACTCGCTACTTTTTGCAGGTAGTCGTCCGTGCAGGGCTGGATATTCCCGAACGGTTTTGGGGGTCTTATCGACCCGGAGTTTACTTTGGGATGAAGCATCGAAGTCCAAAGTCCTATGTATAGGAAGTTAGCCCAGCCCAGCCCAGAATTTCAAATTTTTAAATTTTAAGCTTTCCCGCTGCCGCTGGACATAATTTAATGACTGGAATGTGTTCCGTAACACTCCTAGATAATTCCCAGAAATTTTCAAGCAAATCGACCGGCGGGAGCTTTTGAAAAATACAAAAATGTCTGATTTAGCCCCTCACCCTCAGTTTTAATGAATTTTGACAATTTCAAATGTGGAATCGGGCGAGTTCTGATTACTGAAATATCTTCAAGAATACTTGACGAGTATTCCCTGAAAGTTTCAACAAAATCGTACGCCGCGGACCCCTTCAAAAATGGACAAGTTCCTATATTTATCCTCTCCGCCCCATTATTCGCAATTTTGAAGAATTTTGACAATTTCAACTCTGATTTCGGGCGAGTTCAGATTTCTGAAATACCTTACGGGATACTTGACGAGTATTCCCTGAAAGTTTCAAGAAAATCGTACGCCGCTGACCCCTTCAAAAATGGACAAATTGCTATTTTTATTCTCCTATGCTCTCTCTTGTTTAATTAATTTTGAGAATTTCAAAAGTGGAATCGGGCGAGTTCTGATTTCTGAAATGTTTTCAGTGATACGTGGCGAGTATTTCTGGATAGTTTGAAGAAAATCGTACGCCGCTGACCCCTTCAAAAATGAACAAGTTTTTATTTTTATCCTCCTTCGACCCTTCGTTTTTCATTTTCCTTTTTTGATGAATTTTGACAATTTGAAATGTGCTGGCGGGCTGATGGATACTTGGAGAGTATTTCCTGACAGTTTCAAATCTTCGTGCAGGCGTGTTCGTACTACTGACTTTTATAGTCAGGGATACTTGACGCTTGTTCACTAAAAATAGAAAGAAAATCGAAGGTCGGGCTCCCTTTCAAAAATGCACAAATTTTCATTTTACAACTCCGCCTCAGTTTTCTTAATTTTATTTTGACAATGTCAAATGTGAGTGCTGCAATGTTCAACAATGCTTGCTGATTATTCCATGAAGCGTTCAGCAAAAACACTTTCGGAAGAGTTGAAATACTTTGATAATTAAGGCATGTCCCAGGTTAGAGTAGGGAGTTGGATTTTAAACTATACTGCGCAATTAGTTGAAATTGTTTTTAAGCTATATTATTTTTTTAAACGCAATTTCAAAATAACCAGCAGGTGTAATGCATTTTTTTAATGACAAAATTCAATAGAAATCAGGGTCAAATTGAAAGCCTCGAGAATCGAGTTTTTCACATCTACAAAATCGTCGCACGAAGTGAATCGGAATAGATGTGTCAGTACTTTAAAACGGCAGAATATCCCAAAACGAAAATCTACATTTATATTTCGAAGTATAAATAATTTTAGACCACCTGTCGTCATAGTCACCCACAAAAGAGTGAAAGTCATAAAAAACTTATTCACCACCAAACAATTTCCAAATTATATCAATGGTCAAGAGAAATGAAGGAAAACAGGGTTGCTTAGAATACACAAAAAGTGATTGGAGAAATTTCTGATCATTGACAGTGAAACCTAGATCACATTTGACCTATCCCAATTTCCTGGAGGCAACTTTTTCCATGCATTATGTAGATCCTAATGAAGTGGATTATGGACATAAATTAAACAAAATATCAAAATCTCCCAAAAACACTTTCATTTTTAGCCCGAGTCAGGGCTTATGTACCCGTTATGTCCGTCTGTCCGTCTGTCTGGTTTACGATAACTGTCGTAAAACTGATCCGATCGACTTGAAATTGCGCACATATGTAGTATGGGTTAAATGATGAGTTCTAAGATGAGCGAAATCGGTCAAGTGGTTGACCGGTGGGGGTCATCAGAGTGGGTGGGGTATTATGTACCAAAATTTCAAAACTGGAGTAGAAAGCCGAAATTTGCTACAGAGGTTGCTAATGGTTTATAATGGAGGAATGCAAAGTAAAATTGCAAAAATTTTCATCTGGAGGGACCCTAGGGGGTGAACCATACCATTTTTTAAAACCCATGCAATCGAGCTGAAATTTGGTGCATAGGTTGTCAATGGGTATTAATAGAAGAATATGAATTGAAATTCGACACATTTTCACCTGGGCAGACCGTATGGGGTGACCCATACCAATTCGTCAAATCGAGCTGAAATTTGATAGACAAGTTGGTAATAGCTCCTAATGGAACAATATGAAATAAAATAAGAAAAAAATTCATCTGGAGGACCTTATTGGGCGACCCATACCGATTTTTTAATATTCTCTTATCGAGCTGAATTGCTTAAATAGCCTGCCAGTCGTTATTAATAGAAGAATGCGAATTTAAATTTGAAAAATGAATCTAAATTTTAAATGTTTTGAAATGCATTTACGGTAAAATTTTATGCAAAAGTCGGATTGAGTGAAAATGTGTGCACCAACAAAAGTATAACCTAGTCAACCGCGTGGCTGGAATTTACATATATTAGTAGGATAATACTCTGAGAGTTTTATGAAAAAATATTCGCTCGTTAAAAAGTTATGGTCATGGTCAATACTGGTGACCAGGGGATATCACTATATCTTTTAATATGTTCATATGCATTTACGATAAAATTTATTTCAAAGAAGTCGAATGAGAGTGATAATCAACTAGGCATGACTCGGGCTATATCAAGTCTGCACTGTAGGTTTTCTAGATCAGGATGAGTTATGGGATATTTTGGAACGCCGAATACTTTTGTTTACGGAAATTTTGTAGAAACAATGGTTATTACCCTACATACATAAGCATCATAAAACAGATGTGTCTAATTTTGGACGGACTTATCACCGTCTCAGTACACCAAAATTGCGACCAGCGACTTTGAGGAAAAAATCACTGAATACGTTCCCAAGAAATACAGCCTACAAATGCCCCCAAACCTTGTGGGATTATGACGTCTTGGTCTAGCTGCAAACAGCAACACAAAGTTTCCAACTAATTGGAATAAAACCTTGAAAACTGTGACCGAGAAAGTGTGAAAAGAGCGTATTTCTCATGCTGCTAAAATAATTCGCTCAGTCGGATTCAAATGGGTTCGATAAGCTACGAGTTGCATTACTAGCTATTAGAAGCATTAAGGATTCCGGGCAAATTTTGCATTTTAGTTTGTAAGTTTAGAAGTAATTTGAAAATTAGACGAGTTTTAAAACTGTTAAGTTACTTTTGACACGGAGTATATTCTAAAAACTTTCGTCAAGCGAAAAATCAGAACGTAACTCGTTGGTCGTCTGAATCCCATGCGGTGCATATGTTGCTGGAAGAATTTGGAGGAATAATTAACTGTGTCCAGTTTATGCTGGACTCTGACTACAGTAACATGCAGACAATCGCTGACGCTCACAACCGCTTGAACGACATCCATAATCACCGTTTTATCTTCGGCCTTATCATTTGGGCTAAAATCCTGTATCGAATTAATATCTGCAGCAAAGCTATCCAGGCTATCTTGCAACGTGGACTCCGCAACCAAGCATTTTCAATTGTTACTTTATTGGATAAAGGAATTTAGGATTGACGGGTGGGAGAAAAGTATGCAGAAAGCGAACTCCAAATGCGATGAAATGGGAATCCAACTATAATCTGGGTCTAGTTACAGAGCTACAAGAAACTCCTTCCCTGCTAGATATCGCGATCCGGATCAAGGAAATTCAGCCCCTCAAACCAATGTAGAAAAGTTCAAGATGGAGTTCTTTGACAAGATAATGGATTCCCTGATAGAAGAATTTGAAAAGCGATTCTTTGCACTGGGGCAAGTATGCTCTCAATTCCAATTTCTATGGGGGAAAACACCAAGTGGAGCCAAAGAAGAGGACTTTGAAGATTTTGTCAAGATTTTTGGAGAGAAGTACCCGGAAGATGCATATCGAACCTGATCGATTACTTCGCGAAGTTGGATTTCTTAAATCAGCAATTTCGACCCTTTTGCCAGAAGGTAAACAAGTTAAGGATTGTAGAGCATTGGAGGTTCTGAAGATTCTGTCTTCAAATAATCTGGCTTCCCAGTTTAAAAATTGTCACACGGCTTTGCGAATTTTCTTGACGTTCCCCGTTAGCGTGGCTTCAAACGAACGATCCTTCTCAAAATTGAAGTTAATTAAAAATTACTTTCGTTCAACCTTTACTTTTGTCGCAAGAACGTCTCAGTAACTTATCTATTCTATCAATCGAGAGTGAACGGGCAGAGAGGTTATCATTTAAAGAAACAATTAATGAGTTTGGGACAAAAAAGTGTAGAAGAATTACCTTGCTGAAGTCAACCACGCAAGAGATGGACGAGGATGACTTAACGTAGAGTTCCAAAGATTAGTCAATTATAACTAAAAATAGCTAGAAAGCGTAATCCACTGTTTTAATAATTTTTTGGCGATTTAAACTGACGAAATAAATTTCTTCAACCAAATTAATAAATGAAAACGTACACATTTTTTTAAAATTTATTATATGTGCACATGTATGTATTATAGGTTTCCCGTTTTTGTAGTAAGTAATGTCATCTTTTCGACATTTTCTGACCTGCTAACCTTTGTCTAGGAGTACGTTTCCTGAGAACAAATTGGCGCCCCCTGAATGAATTCAATATTTTTAATTCTAATTTGTTTTCATCGTTGATTAGGGGTTTAACCTTCTCGATTCCAAAACGTTGTACCTACATTTTTGAATTATCTGCAATGAACACTGGTTTTGGAGTTTAATATTTTTCGTAATAAAAAAAACATTCTAACCTACCACAATAGTGTCCATTTGCCCCTGAGTCGTTGAACCAAAAATTAGAAATACATCCTATTGCATATGCACCTTCATCGGAATCATCATCTTTCTTTTCTTTGGGTTTCCTTTCACCTTTGTCTTTTTTGTCGGGATTCCCTGACTTCCAATGTCCTTTTTCTTTACAGATAAAACACACCT